CTCTGTGCATTCAAAATGCCATCAATAAAATGCACCTGTGTTCGTCGGTTACGACGACGAATTGCAGTCAGGTCGAGACCCCGATGAGGACGAGCATGCAGATGAGCTTCCCTGAGACTGTTTCTGACAGTTTGTGCAGAAATTCTTTGGTTATTCAAACCGATTGTTGCAGCAGCTGTCCGGGTGGCTGGTCTCAGACGATCTTGGAGGTGAAGATGCTGGATGTGGAGGTCCTGGGCTGGTGTGGTTACACGGGGTCTGCGGTTGGATGTACTGCCAAATTCTCTGAAACGGCTTATGGTAGAGAAATGAACATTCAATTCACGGGCAACAGCTCTGGTGGACATTCCTGCGGTCAGCATGCCAATTGCACGCTCCCTCAAAACTTGCGACATCTGTGGCATTGTGCTGTGTGATAAAACTGCACATTTTAGAGTGGCCTTTTATTGTAGCCAGCCTAAGGCACACCTGTGCAATAATCATGCTGTCTAATCAGCATCTTGATATGCCACACCTGTGAGGTGGATGGATTATCTCGGCAAAGGAGAAGTGCTCACTAACACGGATTTAGACAGATTTGTGAACAATATTTGAGAGAAATAGGCCTTTTATGTACATAGAAAAAGTCTTAGATCTTTGAGTTCAGCTCATGAAAAATGGGGGCAAAAACAAAAGTGTTGCGTTTATAATTTTGTTCAGTGTATATATATATATATATGTGTGTGTGTGTGTGTGTGTGTGTATACACACACACACATATACAGTATATATGATCTATAAATATATATAAAATTCTTGTTTTTCAGATGGATCTTTGCAGTGGAGAAGTTTCAGTGTTGTGCGACTTGTAACACTAGGAACTATAGTATTGCCTACTTTTGCAGTGTCATTTGGACCCTTTATAGCACTGGTTTGTTATCAATATATGAATAAACTTCTTCGTATAATCACACACACACATATATATATATATATATATATACACATTACTGTTCAACTTTAAAGTCAATTAAAATGAATAATTTTACTCAGCGAGGATGCATTAAATTGATCAAAAGTGAAAGCAAAGAGATTTATAATGTTACATAAGTTACAAAAGATTTCTATTTTGATTAAATTTTGTTATTTTAAACTTTTGTATTTTTTATTATTATTATTAAGCAGTAGTATGATTTCTGAAGTACCAAGTGACACTGAAGACTGGAGTAATTTTAACACAGAGGTTCATTGATAAATCTTGTTCATCTTTATTCATCAAGGGTCAGCTGCCACAAGTCCTGTCACGACTCTTCCCTTTCAAGCGTGGTCTGTGTCATGCGTACTGGGCACCAAACATCTGGGCACTTTACAATATAGCAGATAAAGCTTTTTCCATCCTGGGTATGTTCAATAACTCAAACAATTGTGTTGTGTTGTTATAGGTTAAATAGAAAAACTATATAGAATCATTTGATTGTATGTTCATATCATGAGCGTTGACACATTATTCACTTATTTAGGTGTGAAATTTAAACTGCTTGATATAAACAAACTTCCTAAGGCCTCAATGACTGGTGGTCTGGTTCAGGAGTTACAGCACTCTGTGCTTCCTTCAGTCTCTCCTTTAGCAACCCTTGTTTGTACGTTACTGTCAATATTGGTGAGTTCTTTTTGATTTGCATTGCTAATCTGAATATTCAAATAGATGGCCTTGATTTCATCCATTGACAATATGAATAATGATCAATACAAAAAAGGAAATTGATTTCAAGATTTGCCAAACTCCGATGCATATACCATTTTTGTCACTTTGTCCCTTGCAGCCTGCTCTTTTCAAGATATGGCATAGACCTAATGGAGCAAGAGGATTCTTGCGCTGCCTTGTCATTTGTGCCCTTGGATCCTTTATGTTTGGTTGGCATGTGCATGAGAAAGCCATACTGATGGCCATACTTCCTTTAAGGTGTTCATCTGATGATATTCTTACATAAGCATGTTCTGCCAGCCACCTACTAATCACGGTTTCTTGTTTTTCAGTTTGCTCGCTGTGGAGAGTAGAGAGGATGCCAGGATTTTTCTTATGCTCAGTGTAACCGGCCATTATTCCCTATTTCCACTCCTCTTCACAACCCAAGGTACGTCCTGTTCAGAAAAACTCATAACATCTCACAACAAGCATTTTTGCATCCTCACTGAGTGTGATTCTTAAGCATATTAATTCTTAATTCCAGAGTTGCCCATCAAAATATTTCTCATGTTGCTATTTACAATCTTCAGTCTCACGTCCCTAAAAATGCTGTTCAGGTCAGTACTTAAAATGGGATTATAGGATTTATATTGCCTTGAAGTTTGAGCAAATTATTGGTGATGTGATTCTTCATTTGATTTTTCAGGAAGGGCGGGGCTTTGTTGAACCCATTGGAAGCGACGTATCTCTTGGGCCTGATTCCTCTTGAGCTGATCTGTGAGTTTGTTTACCCGCTGACAGTCTGGCAGAAGACATTTCCCTTCCTTCCTCTCATGCTCACTTCAGTTTACTGTGCGCTGGGAGTGACATATGCCTTTATCAGACTTTATATTTCGTTGCTTACATGTTCAGATACCACTAAAAAGACTAAAATGCAGTGAATCGTATGATGCAGATGCTGGAGGTTGGGCATAATGTCTAGGAGCTGTTTATTCCTGCTGAATTGGACAAAAATATTTCAATGGACCAAAATGAATGATTTGTAGCTGATATCTTGGGATTTGTTTGGGGATGGTTTGTGGGATATGACTATCTCGGTATTCAGTTGTTTATTACCTTAAATAATGATATCATGTAGACTATGCATTCAAATGTTTATTTTTTAAGGTGTTTCTGTAAATGTTTCTGTAAATGTATTTGCTTAGAAAATCTGCCTATGAGCTGCAGTGTTGTTATTATTAATTAAAATTATTTAAAAAAAATTGTTAATAGAAATAAAGCTGAAATAATTTCAGTTTATAAATATTAGACCAAAACACATAGAAATGTTGCTTTTTTTATTTAAGTACTAAAATTAAAACTAAAATAAATAGAAATACTGAAAAAGCTAATAAAAATGACAAAAGCACATACAAAAATTATTTGACATTTAAATGAAAACTGAAAATATACAAAATAAATGCTAATTTAAAATATGAATAAATACTATAATATTATACAAATAAAACTAAAATGATGTGCTTTTAAACATTGGTTTGATTAAACAATTTTATTAATAAGGCAACATAAATATTTCATACCTGATGACATATTTCCTGATTCTTACTAAGTATAGAAAGACGATACCTCATTCAAGTATTTGATGTTTTTCCTGAAATATTTCTAGAGTTCGTCACTGGAGGCAAGTGTGCAGTTCAGGGTATGAAAACGATAATCTCAAAGCTTCATATCGAGCATTTGTGGCTTTCATTAAGAACATTTTTTTAGAAAACAAAGTAACAGAGAAAACAAAGTCGTGGAAGTCACATCATGCTAAAGAATTCCCACCTTAATGTCTCAGTTCTGGGGCCTTATTTATAACACAAAATCCGAGCCAACATTCACATTTATAAAAACTATGTGGAAAAGTGCTTAGCGCCACTTCAGATTCTAAACAGGCATATGCATTTTGTGTGTGTGTGTGTGTGTGTGTGTGTGTGTTCATTCATTTCCCTGCATCACATGTGTGCATATTTGAGAATTGATCATCGGATCAAATGAAGGATGGTTGCAGCATTTTATAAACAAGGCCCCCAATCTCTGGTGTGCATCCAACTGAACAATGTCATGTCAGATCCCCTCACTGGTGTTTATGTACTGTATGCTATGGTTACACAATTTAAATTTAGTGCTTAAAGAGCAAGCCTGAGTCTAGACATACATTGTAACTGTCTGCTTTTTAGTGATGCTGTTAAAATATTTCCAAGAGTAAAAGCACTTTTAGAGTTCTTTTGTGATTTGCCCGTGTTTTCCAATGCAAGGCTTGTCCAAAGGACTCAAGAACACATGCTGACTTCTAAACAGCGGCATTACAGAAATATACATTTAAATACATGCATTACAGATTCAGAATTTTAGGGTCGGTAAGATTTTTTTTTTCTTTTTACATCTTTTACGCTCACCAAGGCTGCATTTAATTTTCAGCATCATTACTCCAGTCTTCAGTGTCACATTATCCTTCAGAAATCATTCTAATATGCTGATTTGATACTCAAGAAACATTTCTTCTTATTATCAATACTGAAAACAGTTGTGTTGCTTTATACTTGTGATATCTTTTTCAGGACATTTTGATAAATAGAATAACAGCATTATTAGAAATCTTTTGTAACATTATAAATGTTTTTACTGTCACTTTTGATCAGTTTAATGTGTCTCTCCTGAATATTTTTTTTAATTTTCATTTCATTTCATAAAATTCTTACTGAACCCAAACCTTTGAATGGTAAAGGATATAAGTCTAAAAAATGCAGGTACTAATTTTGAAAACTTTTAGTTTTAATGTTTTGACAAGTTTAGATCAGCTAAAAGACAGGTGGAAATGCATTTAATGAATTTCTTTTGCACCTACTGCATAAGGTAACTGTATCAGGAAAATTTGATGCTTTCCTTTGATAAAGTGCTATAATATTTGTGATATTATATCAGTGGTCACAACTGGTGGGCCACAGACAAGAAATTGGTTTTAGGTCTGTTCTGGGTCACGGACAACAAAATAAACAGGCACAACTTCCCATTGTTAATAACGCCAAAGATATTGATGTCAACATATTGTGGCCAACTATTGCATTTATGAATTTATCAAATTGTTATATTTCTCACTCAGCCTGGTCAGGTTGCTAATGTAGTAAATTGTTGGGTCTATGCAGTTCATTGTAATATTATGTTGATTACAACATTCTATAGAAATGTTTGATTTACAGGTACATTTTGTACAATAAACTATTTTTGTTCTGTGTTGGGTTGCCATTTGATGTCCAATTTAAAATGTAGGCAAAAACCAGCTGAGAACCATTGCTCTACATTTCCCAGTTCTTAGGGCAATTCAGGCCACATCGGCAATGTACTGTCTCAGAGTTCACTCTCAGAGCAATATAGTCATGCCATAAATAGTTCAAGCACAAGTACATGGATTATATGATGTGCTCATCCAATGAAAGTCACTAGATGTGTGCACAGTGTTCTCTACTGAGCCTTTCCTTAAAAAGCACCACACTGCTCACTCCTAAGCCTTGCCAGCAGTTCCTTAGTTTCCTGAATCCCCCTTATAGCATTAGAAGATCAATGTTTAGCTGAGGACAGCTCAGATGCAAGGCTTGGTATCTCCACTGGGGTCAGACAGGACCATGCTTGGGCAAAAGTTCCCCCGAGAATTTTCTCACAGGTGCTGTGGGAAGCTACATCTGTTCCTCAAGAGTGGGACTACCAAACTCCACTTTCATTTTGCTTTCAGGCGGAGAATTTTCTGTTTTCTCTGTCCTTAAGTTGGAGTTTAGTCAGCCTAACTTGTATTGATTGGTTTCTGTCGCCCTTCCACAATAATGACCAGGACTGGAGTGAGGTCCATCAGTTTCTTCAGCATATCCATAATGTCAGGATGATCTTTGGCTCCTTCAATGAACTCCTCCAGCGTCAGTTCACCTGAACGTTTAAGTAACGAGAGATGTAATCAACTAGAATATATAATATGCATATAGATGAGGACTTTCATAAATTAACTGGTTCTCACCTTCTCCGTTAACATCAATCTTTTCAAATATAAGAGCCACTACTTCCTCTGGCACAATGTCATGATTTCTTGTAATGTGTTGTATAGCCTGTTATAAAAAAAACACATATAACTTCAGAACTTTTTTTTCTTTTATAGAAACATCACTGAAAATCTATTACAATTTTTCCATCCCTAGAACTGCAGCAGCATTGTGTGGCGTAGCTGAGCAGCCACCTGAGGTCAGCTGAACATGAGACCTTCATGACATGCAACACTATTTCCACTCTAAGAAGTGTCAGTCTCAGAAACCCCAGAACAGAAACAGCACACGGAAGACAGTTCTCTAACTGGATTAAATCAGGTCATGTACAAGTTAAGCAGACTGATCCAGTGTCCATGTTAACATGATCTGATCTGCAGTCAGGTTCTGTTTTTGACTTTCTATTTTCGGTTCGTTCACAAAGACCTGATGTGGGAGAAAATATAAATGTAGGTAATTCAGTGATTATCCTAAGCAGAGTTTAACATATGACATTAATTGTGTCCCATATCACGTACTAATGCACTATTACGTTTTAGTATAAATAGTGCGAGTAGTGTGCACTGTAAATACCTGGATGATGCACTTAAATAACCCGAAAAAAAAAAAAGTGTGGAATTTTGGACACTTCATGCACTCAACTCTCACAGCTTTAATTACGTGGCAAAGAGGGAGGGGCTATCCGACTCTGATAAAATAAGCTTATATAATTCATACACTACATGGTTGAGTGCATAGTGTGTATTGCATCATTTGTGCAAAAAAAACAAAAAAAAAAAGCTGATGGGAATGGTTTATGGTATTCGTTAAAACATTCACTTACAGTAAATATTGTTTCCAATTCATCCTTGTCAATTTTTCCATTGCCATCCTGGTCAAAAAGTTTGAAGTACCATTTCAGTTTCTGATTGATTTCCCCCTTCAGCATTAAGCTAATAGCAGCGATATATTCCACAAAATCTATGTATCCATCCTAAAGGAAAGAGAGAGAGGGACAGTTCATATTACAATATTTTGTGTTAGGCTGTTTTAATATGAACAATTCACATATGGAGATCCAGGCAAGATCATTATGTTAGCTTGCTTTTTAACCTTAATCAGTGTAAGTTTTGTAACATTGTTACTTTGTAAGCTTTTCTCCTCTAAGCTGAACAGTCTACAATGAAATCTCAATGTACTTGGCATATCAGTAAACCAATCAAGTGAGCTTGGAAGAATTACACAACAAAATGTAACCTCCATATTTCTTATTACACATCATATATCATATTGCCTGCTGTCGACACATTCCCCATATGGCAAAATATAACAAATAAAATAAAACAAAATGGCTAAAAATATTGCTAGAATAAATGTTAAAATACATTGTTACCTATATTTCCTAATTTATATTTTTGACAATCTTTTAGTTTTGTTTTCAATTTAAACCTTTATACGGTCCAAATTATGCTTTAAAAATTACATTTTGCACTGAACCAAAATGCATTTTAAGACTGGATTGGAAGTATTTTCTCAGAAGTACATTTTGTAATATATTTTGGCATTTGAACAAAGCAAAATGGTAACTAAATTTTCAATATAAAAAAAGATATTTATTTTACTACGTTTTACATATATCTATTTATTTACTACCAGCATATATTTGCCATATATTTTGGCCTTTTTTTTTGTTTTGTTTTTGCAGAATGCGTCAGAAGGCTTTTGGCCATAATAAAAAAATAGGTATTGTTAAAACTGCACAGTATTCATATTTACATGTATAAATTAGTATTGTACAGTTTTATCCAAAGTAACTCACAAATCAGATATGCATTTGCTGTCTCTTCCAAGTACCTGTGTAAATGATAAACGGTTTACCACCAGAGTTGACCTTGTTTTATCTGATCTCTGGTGCACAAGTCTATTTGAAAAATCCATTTAAGGTCAAACAATACATGATAGTTATGTAGCACGGCTAAAAATGATGATTTGCAAGATTGGAGAATTAGATCTTACTGTCACAATATTCAATGATTATTGATATTACATGCAAATTCAAGAATGAAACCTCACCCCATCCATGTCGAAAGTGAAGAACACCTGGTTCACATAACTGTTAGCATCCTCATTCATGCCCTGCAGTCCCAGGATGGATTTGAGTTCAAAAAGTGTGATCAGGCCTGATGGAGACTCCCTCATGAACTTGTTATACCAGTGGTGCATGTCCTCAGCGAGTATGTCGTCCAGACTTGCGTGTGTGTTCCCCATGGCTGGACCAGACGGTTGCAGGCCTGTGAGCTCTGACAACGAGGTGCAGACTGGCCTCCGCACACAGTGACAGCACAGGATACTGAATGTCTGAAACTATTAGATCCAAGTACCAATAAAAAGAGGTGGCACCTTAAAATAACTACTGCTAATGGGATAATGACAAGACCTGACCGGTAAAGAGTAACTGGCACAGAGTAGCCAATGCCTATATAACAGCGTTCAGGATCCAGATGAATGTTTGTGCGGTCATTTGCAGAGTGCATCAGAGGCCACCTCTCAGTATGTTGTTACAGTTCTGGAAAGTCTAACCAGTCTAAATAGCTTTCATTCTCTGTCAATGTATATAAAGCACTCTGAATTAAACAGAAATTAATGGTGAGAAAGCATATTTTGCAATTTATAGGTAATGGAGTTGTCACATAACTATTGGTGATATGACCTGATATGACCCAGCTTCGTTTTGTCCGTATGCCAGTCCGATCACTGACTTTTCTCACTTGAAAGTGGTGACGAGGCAGTTATCCATCTCTCTGAATGCAGATTTTAAATAACTTTTTTTATTTTTGACAAAATAAGTTTAAAATTTAAATAGGCATGATAAAATTCTGCTGATACTGAGTAACCCATGTTATTTTCATATTATGGCAGATAATGACACATTAAAATTCTATACTATTTTGTCTGAATATAAAAAATAAAAAAAAACTATAACCAATCATTTTAAATACTACAAGTGAATTTATGCATTGCAATATTAAAATAATTTAGAATTTAAGCATTACAACATTCAAATATTGTATGCGTGTGAAAAATGGATATTCATTTTGTTATTTGCTAGCAATTACATTTAACAGTGCTATTAAATGATTTTTTGAATGATTATTAAATACTTTTAAAAAAAAATTAAGATCATATAAAAAAGTTTGTATCGATAGAAAATCTCAAATATTGACCATTAAGTGATATATGGTGCATCCTTTAATTTATTTGATCAGTGATTGCATATAGTTTCTTATCATGCAGAATCAACATAACATTTTATTACTTTATAAACGTATATTATTGTAGGATTTATTGTTTTGCACAATCCGTGCATAAATTAAATTGAAAAAAATATATAAATAAGATGTTTTGCATAACCAGCTAAACAATTTTACAAAATAGCAAAATCCAAGTGTAGTGTAGTTCCGTTTTAAAAAATATATAATAAACTAAACTAAACTTAAAAAAATAAAAAAAACTGTTTAGTGATAATAGCAAATGTACAATCACTGTACTGTTGCAGGTGAAAAAACTTCGCTTTTATTTTCTGTCAATGCATATAAAGCACTCTGAATTAAACAGAAATGAATGGTGAGAAAGCATATTTTGCAATTTATAGGTAATGGAGTTGTCACATAACCACTGGTGATATGACCTGATATGACCCAGCTTCATTTTGTCCGCATGCCAGTCCGATCACTGACTTTTCTCACTTGAAAGTGGTGACGAGGCAGATCTGTGCTCTTCATTAGGGTCTTAATGTGCTTTGTATCCACTGCAGTAAATGGGATTAAGTGACTGTTGTCATTAGCTCAAACGTTCATTGTGAGCGTCAGCCTGAACCTCTCAACTCCTGCCATTTCTAAAGGTCTACCAGTAAATTAAGGTAAATTTGCTATGCCGAGATTACCAGCAGCGACTCAATCAAACGTCACGTGAAGGAACTAAACAAATGAACACATTAATGATCAAAGTGCAACACATGCAAACATACTTACATAATTATATAAAAAACACTGAAATGTGATTAGCTTGTGTGCCGTATGCATGCTCAAACCTGACACTGAACACCAATCAGAGCAAGAGGAGGATGTTATACTTAAACTTGGAAAAGATTTAATACATAGTATCAACTGTAATGAAAGTATGAATATCAATATTAATTTGTATTATAATATTACATATATTGTCCAGTCAGAACAGTGAAGCAAAAAGTGAACAGGCTGTAATTCCACCCAATAGACACTTCTGTGAAAATCATTTTCAAATTCTCATAGCAATGATTGTTATCCTCATCATTTTCATTTATTTATTTATTTACATCAGACTTTGCATGACAATATTAGCAATCAGGACAAACCAAAAGTCTGGTAGTATTTCAGTAATAGCCAGATTAGGAAGCATGAGTTGATCCACCATAATCCTTCCTCCCCTGACCTTGAATATCTGAATCTAATCTTTAATTAATCTGCCAAAATTGCCATTTCTGAACAATATTGAATCCTTTCAGGATTTATAAAAGCAGCATGATATTTGGGTCTATGCCATAGTTAAGTATTCTAGTCTGTAGTCAGGGCCAATTTTAAAACACAGAACACATGCTTAATGAGAGAGCTACAGAGCTCTACTTAAATGATAATCTGTCCCTCACTAGAGCTTCCATGAGGTCAGCACAGATCCCAGAGATCCAGAGAACAGGTCTAACGCGGAAAATCTGTCAGTGCCCTGATTAAGAGATTTTATAAGAGAAATACAATATTTCTGGTACTTCTGCACTGAACATATATAAACAGATACCTAGTTATTTGTACGTATTTTTAGCAAATATTTTGTCTAAAGGTCAGATCTTATGCAGAATAGGACCAGCCTAGGGTCATGACCTCGAGGTAAGTCTTCTCTAGAACCAGAACTTTCCATCTTAATCATGGAAATGTGATTTTTTTTTTCATATTCCCATTTTTTTTTCTGCAAGTCTCAACGATCAACTATTCATATTTTTGATAGGAATACAACTATGAACAACAAAAACAATAAAAAAAATATGTCCTTTAGTGGAGACTAATAATTATATACAAAAGTAAAAACCAAACCAAATCCCATATGATCTCAAATCAAACGAATGTGTAAATTCATACAAGCGGCTCAGAACATTAATACAACTGTACAGGAGGGAAAATACTGTTGTTCTCTGCACCTGCAGGTTTCACTTGCACATTCAAACGACTCAAATGTTAGACATGGACAAGAAGTCTCAAACCAATTCACATTATTTCATCTTCTCCTGATGTCTTTTCTACGGTTAAGCAGTGAGTTTAAGGGAGTTCTTCGGTCTAAGGCAGATTTGACCTTTTTTTCTATTTAGAGACTTTACACTCCTGCAAAATAGAAATAATGAGATCAAATGAAACAAGCTAATGCATATAACATTTATGAGCATGGATATGACACCTACTCACTTGGCTCTAATGGTTTACTTCATCTTCTTTCTGTTCCTCTTCTTTCTCATCTGTTTGTGGTTGCGTGACTAGCTCTTCGCGTGTTTCTTCTGTACTGTTATCCAGCTGCGTTTCATCTTCACTTTTCTCTTCCTTTAGCTCTGGTTCTGTTTTCTCTTCTTTCTCTTCTCCATCTTTCTTTTCTGAAATCACAATCTCCACTTTTTCCTCCGGATCTGGCTTCTCTGAATCCGTAGGTTTAGTTTCCTGCTCAATCTGCTCTTTAGAGGAGAGAGATTCTACATCTGGTGACGTCTTGTGTTCTTCAAACACGTCTCCTTCATGCCCATTTGGAGTCGTTTGATCGAGGGTGGCTGAGGCTGTTTTATCCACATCTTCTCCGCCTTCATCTGCACTGGACTTCCTGTGTCGGCGAGACTGAGGGCGCCGCTTGATGGAATGTCGAGCTCTACCCTGCGCAGATGTAAAAATACACGTGAATTCAAATTCTGCGACCAGGTTTTATCGGTGAATTCACTGATATGTGAACTGCTATGAAGTCTCAAACCTTGTTGATGCTTTTGAGAACAGTTCCGTCAGTGGGACTCTCAAAGCTGGCAGGGGTTTCCTCCTGTTTGGGCGTGACAGTTACGGGAGGACTAGAGGGGCTGCTGGGAGAGACGGGGGAGATGGACGCCACCGGTAATTTCACCACCCCTGGGCTCTTTGGGAAGGGCGGAGGTCCCGTGGGAGAAAGCGTAAGGCTGGCCTGTGTGAAATGGGATGGAAAATCACTTCCATTATCTAAAGCAATACTGACCTCTGTCCACTAGAGGGAAACACAACCAACCTGCAGTTTCTCAATGAGGGCAGAGTTTCTGTTCTTCCTGGTTGATACTGTTTCAGCTCCTTTCTGAACAGATAAAAAATAAGTCAGTAACATCAAAACAAAACAAAACAAAAAAAACTTTTAACAATACTGATGGTTTATACTGAAAAAGCTTTGAAAATCTGCATCATTGCTACAACACATTGCATATTTTGATTTGAGGTAATAGTTAACAAACATAATTTCTATATGCATTTAACTAAAGATAATGTTTTAACTACATTGTAATGAAAGCTAGTTTTATTACTGACAATTTAGAGTTTTTTTCCCCTCAATCCCTGCTCCTCTCACCTCATCCTGGCCTTGACCTGCATCATTACCAGCAGGCAGCTGCAGTGAGCGTGGGGGTCTCCTCCTCACAGGCTTGTTCTGGAACAAAAGAAGAGCTCAGATCCACATGCTATACATCCACATAAACACGTACATACCTTACCACAGAAATTACTTCCACAGAATTCTAATGATCAAAAAAAAAAAAGGAAAAAAAAGCACCCCCTCCAAACAAATAAATATTAATATTTTGTATTTAAAACAAAAAACAAAAAAAACAAAAAAAATGAATACATAAAGTATTTATAGAATTAAATAATTTTTTACAAATAATAAAAAACATTTTATTAATCTAAAAAAAGAATATTATTATATTTGTAAAAGATAAAAATACAGTCTATAAAAATTAAAAACTACAAAATGAATGAATAAAATATTTTTAGAAATAAAACAATACATCATATTTAAAAAAAGAAATAATTATAGAAATATTATATTATAATATAGAAACAGTCATTACACCAAATACACAAAATAATGTTCTTTTTAGCAACATCATATGACCCCTTTAAAAACAAAAAATAATTAGAATATTTCAAAAATAAAAAATGCATAATATGAATTAAATGTTTTTATAAATATTTAAGAAACAAAAAATGTATAAATATAAGAAATAAAAATAAAAAACATTTAAAAATCCTGTCTAAAAATAAAACACACTTTAAAAATTGCACGACTAAATTAAACATTAAGATAGGCAAACACCATTTTTAATGATATGCATATTGTATATACTTGTTTGCAATGAGGAAATGTTTGAGAAATGCTAAATTGAGCAACAAGGCTTACAAAGGGGAAAAAGACAGGAAAGTAGTGGTAAAAACAAGACAAACCATCTGCCACCTGCATAGACATGCAGCATAGTATTTCTGCATTGCATAACATTCACTCTTATTAATATCTGTGCTTGAGGACGCCTTCTTTCGGTGTCTATTTCCTAAGCGATAGAATGACACTTTGCCAAGCAGTTCATGAGGATTTGCACAACCAGTCTTAACATTAATACCTAGGCACATATAACAAGAGTTGCACATTCATAAGGACAAAAATCTGGGTGGCACAAAACCAAAAATCCACTGCAGAATTGTTCCAAAGAATGTGACAAGGAAATTTGCTTCCTTGTCTGCAATATAGGGGACGGGCCCAGAACTAACCTAGAAATTTCCCCCTGAATTATACACTTCCTGTTTAAATGTACATAGCGGGTATCAGGAAGCTTGTCTGTGTTACACAAGTTATTCATTTTAGACTTAATGTTATGCTATACTGCAATATAGAGTTCTTAATATACATAAATTGATTCTTTTGCTATGGATAAATAACCCTAACTTTCCAATTTTAATGTTAATGTCTTTTATTTTATCATTTGAGTTGTTTTTCTTTTGCTTAAGTTTTTATTCACACTAAACTAAGGGTTAACTGTTTTTTCAGGAAATTAGGAAAAATTAGCAGAAAAGCTGAAGATTGAAAACAAAATAATAAACTATAAGCAAAATCAGAGGAAAAAAGATGACTTTGTTAAAGTCCAGAAAAAAAGGAGATGGGACAAATTAGAAAGTTCAAGTGCGAAAGCAGAGAGGATGTGATCATATTCGGATAATATGAAACTTCAGCGTCTGTCATGTGGGATATTGGACGACTGAATTTTCCAGCTAGTTCAGCCACAGAGCGCTTTTTTACAACAGAATGCTCCTGAAATACAAAAATGTTAGTGTATGAATGAGAACGGCCCCTTCTTTTTGATATATTGTTTTTAATATTAATCTATGGAATTACAATCTATGGCAAAACACTCAAATCAATTTATTAACTGTAAAAACACCTGCCACTTTTATATATAACACATTTTCTTAAAAATGTATAAAAACACACACAATATTGCAACGGGCAAAGCAACACCCTCTATTTGAGAATTTTAGTCCAGCTTTGACTTTTTAAAGCTTCTAGTAAAAAAATGTCTAATTACAAGCCATTAGGTGTGTAATGCTGACTTCCACAGTGAGGCTGAGAAAATGTCTTGTATTTCACCACAGGAAACCACAAGAGTCGTGAATGCTCATTTGAGCACAGTGATACGCAAAAGAGCGTATTTCAAAGGAAATCTTTGAGAAAGTGCTTTTTGAGCCATGTAACTGGCCTCATGGGGACACGAGCTCAGTCGGCTATGACTTCAGCCCGCTGTTATCATCCCTGTCTCAGGCTCTTCCATCCACAGGCCTCCATCTATGACCATTAGCACTCTCACTATCAGTGAATGGAAACCAGTGCTGCCTTCTCAAAAGTGATTGCAGAATGTGGTATTTTAGGGCTGAGGCCCTAAAACTGTTTGTTGTCAAGGCGTTCAGTCTCAGAGCTTTGTGGGAACCTTCCAACACTAAGCTGCATGCAGTCTATATCTTACAGGATGTTGGTTATACAATGATGAGGCAACTTAAGATAAACTGAAGTATATAAGACAAGTCAAAAACAGGAAGGGTGCTTGAGCAAGCCAAGAGTTTAAAATTAGAAGCGTCATTTCTATTCAAACCAGCAAAGCTATTATGAATGCAACTTTTTGATTAAATTAAGTTGCACAATTTGCAGGTTCAAAAATGTATATTTAAAACAAAAAATTTGTTGTCATCCTAAAATGTTAAATCTACTCTTTTCCATTAATTGAAAATGCACGATGATCAATGGCTGTCGCAATTATCTTTTTTAAATATTATGTTTTATTTATTATAAATTGTACACTCTAAAAACTGCTGGGTTAAATACAACCCAGTGCTGGGTAAAATAGGGACAAACCCAGCAATTGGGTTGTTTTGACCCAGCGATTGGGTTACTACCCAGAAGGTTGGGTTAAACATTTAACCCAACCGCTGGGTCAAAACAGCCCAATTGATGGGTTTGTCCCTATTTTACCCAGCACTGGGTTGTATTTAACCCAGCATTTTTTACAGTGTATTATTATATATACACAATTAGTTAAGAGTTAGTAGATTGCAACAAGTGACTGTCTTTATGAATGAGTCATTTAATTATTCACTCAAACGATTCATTCAAAAACCCAGTTTCATCTTGAAACAAAACAAAAGACTACTGTATGAGTGGGTCATTGAATCATTCGCTCAACTGATTTAATGATTCAAAATCAACTGATTTAATGACCCAACTGATTCAAAAACACTGATTCATCTAGAAATGAAACACTGCCTACTGTATGTTGCTCAGTTGCTCATGTGCAATGCTTTACTGTCTAAAGTAAAGTAAAAACAGACAACTGGCAAAGTTGTGTGTGAAATGTATGTTACTCAATATTAAGTTTAAATAAATTAATGTTTTAATATACTTTTATAATACTTATAAATATATTAGGTTGGGATTTGAACCTGAATCTTCAAATTCTACACGCAAATATGTCAAGCTAACACATAGAACTACAATTTTTTAAAACTTCTTGCTTTGGTGTCTATGAGAGCCTGGTAGCCTCTCATTAAAAAAATACATGACAGCCAGCTGCTTATTAAAATAGCCAAATAAGACCTGGTATATGCCTGGTACCTTGATGCATTCAGGCCTCTATTAAAAAAAAAATCTTTTGCCCAGCCTCTTTCTGTCTGCACTGCTCTCAGTCCTGCCCGTGTTTGCTGCTCATGTGTTCCAGCTCCACTAGATCCAGTCCTCTTTAAGATAAAAGCATTCCATCATGACATCATTTGCCCTATTTAGTGCCCAAGATGGACACAAAAAAAGCTTGTTCTGTGAAATAGCTTGTTGCTATTTTAAATCTAGGCATTTCACTGATATATCAGTGCAACCCTCAGATTTTGATATTCTATGTTTCTGAGTAGAAATTACTCATAACAGAAACATATTCAAGCAGTTTAGCCCATATCATGCAGATAGGCATGCATTTTGTCTCCCAGTTCACTTCAAACTCCAGCCTGAGAAAACATTCTCCAGTGTGACCCCCAAGAAACATTCACAGAAATTCTCAGTGTCACTGACAAATTGACAAATTTATGCTAACTGCCAAAAACAACATGGGAAGATGATGAGGACCTGCCCCAGAGACTGAACCGCTCCCAGAGCGGAGCTCCCATGCCTGAAATGCAACATAACAGCATGCTTGCCATTTTTTAACAACAGCAACTGAGAAAACACTGATCTGTTCCTTCATCCAGTTCCCCTCTATAATCAGATTTTTGAAGATTCAGCAAGTAAAAATGGTATTACAGTAAATATGCAAATATAAACATAAAATGGCATTGTTAGCATGTGTATTTCTGCTCTACTCTGTGGGAATATTTTACAGAGAAAGGAATATTTTACCCAAAACTGAAAATTTGCTCTTAATATAGTCACCCTCAGGCCATCCAAGATGTAGGTGACTTTCTTTCTTCAGTAGAACAGTAAAGATTTTTAGCTGAAACCATGGTGTCATGGTGAACATAATATGCAAAAAAAAACAAAAAAAAAAACAATAGCTCATGGTAATGACGTACACGTATGTGAACTGACACTGTTGTTGCTCACTTTAATCCAAGTGATGGTTCCCATGGACTTTATTATATTATAGATCACCAAGGACTATGGGTTCAGCTAAACATTTTTACTGTTCTACTGAAGAAAGAAAGACACCTACGACTTGAATGGCCCGAGGGTGAGTAAATAAACAGCACCTTTTTATATCTGGGTGAACTATTCCTTTAAAAATTGAACATAAATGACAAATGGTGTTGTTTTTACTTTTAAAAGGTTTAATGCACATGCTCACATGTTAAGTACAGGGCATTGAGCTCATTACTACTCATTTAAGGCTGGGTATGGGCAGCTCTTCCCTTGAGACCCAGTGGGTGGTGAGATTTACAACATTTGTGTGTGTGACTATGGGTGGTTAAGGGTGTGTGTGTGTGTCCCACAGCTGTGCCTTTGCGCACATTTAACACACACCTGCAGAGATGACCCCTGAAGATGACATCACTGCTGCAATTCGTCACTAATAATTTCTCCCAACAATTTTACTACCTTAATAAACACCATGTAAGCAACAAAAGACAGATTCGTTCCAAAGCTTACTTTATCTTTTCAAGAGTTGGCAGCAGTCAGATGACACAGGGTGAGTAAACAAAGCAACAAAAATAATCAATTCAGCATGAGCCTTTCTTCATCTCCAAAACAGAGGCATGATCATGATGACATACTCACTTTTTAACTGCACTGCTGGAGCTAGAATCAGCTCATTAAGCATAAGGCCATCAGGAGTGTGGGAGCAGTTATGTGTAAAAAAACATCTAAGAGAGACTCAGGGGTATTTTGTCTGCGTTTCCTCTTCAACTGCTTCAGCCACATCAAAAGGCAGTTAAAATTAGATAAATAATTTGTAACCTGACATTAAACATTTGTAAAGAATTAAATTTTTAGTAACACTTTACAGAAGCAAAAGCCCCAATTTCAGTTTGTAACAGTTAGTAATTACATATTAAAGCTATTAAAGCTGCTTTACTTTATTATTGTAACATTCATTTCACCACCATTCAAAAGTTTGAGGTCAGTAAGATTTTTAAGAAATTAATACTTTTATTTTCAGCAAGGATGTATTAAACTGATCAAAAGTGGCAGTAGACTGTTACAATGTTTCAAAATATTTCTGTTTTAATTCTAATCTTTTGAACTATTCACTCATCAAATTAAGCAGCACAACTGTCTTCAAGTTTGATAATAAGATTAAATATTTCTTGAGCACTAAATCAGCATATTAGAATGATTTCTGAATTATGGTGTGACACTGAAGACTGTGAGTAATGGCTGCTGAAAATTCAGCTTTGCCATCACAGTATTCACGAGTTCGCACTTGCATATAATCAGATTGAGCAAATAGTAAGCATATTTGGCATGCTGTCCACAGGGAGGGCTCCAAGCTTGGAATATAGCCCCAACCCAGAGAACCCCCCAATCCCTAATCTGGGATGAGAATAGTTAAGAGCGAGGAGTTGGGGTGGAGGAGTGATGCCATCTGATCGTGCTCCTCCCGAACCTTGTTAATAAAACATCATATAAATGAAATTTTAAGATACATTAAAAAAAATAAGGAAAAAAACTTTTTACAAAAGCAACAATATATAACAATATTACTGTTTTTACTGCATTTTTTGGTCAAATAAATGCAGCATAAGAGACTTTTTTTAAATATTACAAATCTTACCGACCCTAAACTTTTGATCAGTAGTGAACCTTTGATGTGACCTGGTATTTATAAATACTATATTAATATAACTAGGGCTGCAACAACTAATCGATAAAATCGATTATGAAAATAATCGACAACGATTCTCATTATCGATTAGTCGGGTCTGCCCACAGTTCACGTCCAACTTCAACCGGTCACGTCAAATTACTGACAAAGCACTGAATGACGCATTTCTATGGACAAAATGCATCCTTATGTATCCTTATGTATAAATGTCACAAATTCACGCGAGCATTTCCATTTTGCATAAAGGTCCGTCCTGACAGTCTGTGTTGTTTTAATCTTTACTGAATGAGCGGCGGCCGCGTGCACGCGCGTCAGACAGACGGAAAAATTAATAATCAGCGCAAAAACATTTATTGTGCTTAAATATCTGTTGTTGAAAGTTAAATTAAGGTTTAAAGGTCAACCTGCATTGCGAGTATTTTATGAGAGTAGGAACTGTAACGGGATAACAGCG